AATATATAAGGAACTCAAGAAACTAGACACAACAAACCAAACAGTCCAATTTAAAAATGGGGTACAGATCTAAACAAAGAGTTTTTAACATTTGAATCTGAAACAACCAAGAAACACTTAAAGAGATGTTCAACATCCTTAGTCATCAGAAAATGTAATTCAAAACAACCCAGAGATTCCATCTTACACCTGTCAGAAGGCTAAAATCAAAACCACAAGTGACAGTCTATGTTGGTGAGGATATGAGAGAAGCAGAAAATTCCTTCATTGTTAGTGGGAATGCAAACTTGTATAGCTATTTTGGAAATCAATATGAAAGTTTCTCAAAATATTGGGAAACAATCTACCTCAAGATACAGCTATACCACTCTTGGGCATATAGCCAAATGATGCTCCATCCTACCACAAGAACACTTGCCAACTATGTTCTTAGAAGCTTTATTCATAATAGCCAGTACCTGGAAACAACCTAGATGTCCCTCACCTGAAGAATGAGTAAAAAAAACTAATAATTGTGGTACATTTACACAATGGAGTATTACTCAGTTGTTAAAAATATAATATCATAATATTTGCAGACAAATGGATGGAATTAGAAAAATTATCCTGAGTGAGGCAATGTTCATAATGATAGTCATTATGGGGTTATAATGTTCATCCCAGTAACCACAGACTATCTAACAAAACTTCCACATCAGTAATGAGACACTGCCTGTCAGGTGGGTCAGATAGACTCTCAAAACAATATAGGCTATTAGCATTACTCTTGGCTTACGTCAAATGTAAGACAACATACAGTTCAGTCACAGGACTTGAAGCAACCAAGATGGAAGTGTCTGAAAGCCTCTTTGAATGCTAGCTTCTGTATTATCAGAAAATGCTGTGTAACCTGCCAAGAGAGAAAAGCAACTGCTGTTCCTACCCAATCATAAAGCCAGTTAGCCACAAAAATTACTAACTGATGAGAATCTGCCGCTGGTATAATAATGAGTTATTTAATTGGAGGGTTACCAACAGCTGTCTAATCATAATTAAGGCCTACTCAATAGGAGGGAATTAATGACTGATTCTTCAACCTAACCAACCACTTTTGACTAGAGATATCATAAACACTAGAGGAACACCTTCTAGCAGTTTTTCCTGAACTAATATAATAGTTAACTGTATCCTCAATAATTATTTTCATACGTAGGGATAAGAATATAAGCTCATCCAAAAACTTCCTTTTCCAACAAATTGAGATGATTGCAGAGATCAACAACTGGCCAAAATGCAGAGTCCATGGAGTACCTCATCACCAGTTAACACATCTACAATGCAACCCATACACTAAGTCTAGGGGAAAATGGAAGAAGAGAAGATGGAAGAGTGTAAAAACCAAAGAATCAGGACACCTTCTGCTAGGAAGGGTCCTTTAGACATAATAGGGAAGCCACACCCATGAAATCTCAACCGTATAGTTGACCAAACAAAATTTAAATAATAAATTTTATTTAACATCCCAACATAGGTGGGTGACATGTTACATGGTCTCACCATTAATGGAAGAACAATAAGAAAGACGCATTTCCTAAATATACCACATATAGAACCAAACAAAGAAACACACTCCATTTGGGAACTTAATAATATCTAATATTCAATATTCAATTCCATTGTACTTCAAACCACCTTAACAAAGATAAATAATATGAGAATTATTATGAGTCCATAGAATATTTCTTACTATGCCCTTCTCGAATTGTTATGGCCTGCTCCTGAATATTTTTAATGTTCTTGAAGTAATTTTGGAAAATGAGTTCTCTGTGCCCCAAAAGTTTGCCTGAAATCATTCAGAAAGAAGTGACAGCTGGATGTGAAATTGAAACTGGACGACAAAGATCCGAATTCTCATTTGATATCTCCCATGTACAATTTTCACCTGAAATCTTTCATTTAGCTTGTTCCCACTCATTCCCTTTCATCTAGGAAGTCATTTGCCACATGTGACCCTCATTTTACCACGACCTACAGAGCCCTTATTCAGCTTTCTATTCTACCTTGCCTCTAGCACCTTGCGGCTCTACTTTTATTCTTACACTCATAAACAAACATCATTACATGTATATAGATACAAAATGTTTAGGAAATTTGAATGCAGTATGAAGCATTTCCATTTCTGTTTAGCCAACAGGTGTTTCAATCTGTGGAACGGAACGCAACTGGACTGGATTTCATGTTTGGATAATTTAAAAGATTTTCTATTGGGGACTTTTATCAATTGCAATCTTATCATCTCAAAATCAGTTTATCCCTGGGTCCTTTGAACAAGTAATTGTGTAACATTTACATTGGTTTATACTACAAAAGTAAGCTTAAAAGCTAGAAACATAAAGAAAAATCCTTTATTAACCAAAATACCCCAAAACTTATTTATGAAATAACCTAAAATAATACATTTTAAAAGTTAGTGCATTTGAAATTAATGTGGAAAATTGGATGACAATGTTTTTTATCGATGGAAAAATTTTAAATATGTTATATTTCTTTGGCTTTCTACTCAGGTAACTTCTCAAAGGTCACTATGAGTTACTTTCTAGAAAACCTAAGATCTCATGATACTTTTCAAACTCTTTCTGAACTTGATTACACTCATATTTGTCTCAAGATTATAAAGAGTGAAATCAAGCAGATGAAATATGAAGCAAGTTGTCAGGATGCCACAGACTCTCCTGGAGAATAAAGAACGGCATCCATGGTCAGAGCTTTTAGATATAACACGAGGATCCGTTTTCATAATTCAACAATGAGGAAAGTCAATACATTGTCTCCCTTCACTCTTCATGAAAAGTAATGAGGAGGCAAGACCTGCCCATTGATTTTATATAAAAAGTAATAGAATCTAACTTAGTAATCTCCAAATAGATGTCATTGAATGTGTATTTTAAAACTAGTATGACATTGAAATTCCTTCAGACAGAACTGTCTGTGATTTGCTATAAAAAGAAGCCACAAATGAACACACAAGGAGGGAACAATATATATGATCATACATAGTTTATAAGTATTGATGCCAATTTTCTCCAAATCTATATTGAAAGAATATAAAATTCATAACAAATTTGCCTGCTTTATAAAACGGAGTCATAAAAACTCATAACTGAAGCACTCAAACCATAGTTATAGTAGCAACATATAATATATATATATATGTGTGTGTGTTTCAATATTTATTTGTTCATCTGACAAAGAAATTCAGTTTATCTATACAATAAAGATAAAATAAATTATTCATAAATTTGAACCTTGTAATTTAATTTCAATCTTTCAAACAACATACAGTAAAAAATAGGGAATGGTAGTCATATTAGAATTTTCTTCTTTACTACTGCTCAGACCTGTGAAGAGACCCTTAAATCACTGCATATTTCATTTCTAATCTGAGAAGTATTGAATTTGAACATCTGAAGCAGTCAGTATTGTCTACTGCTATAATACATGTTACAGAAGAAACTATGCATGGAGAGTGTGTTTAAAGAGCTGTGGCAAGTCAGAGTAGGGCATCCAGTGAGTGACCTGCCTACTGCACCGCAGCGCACTTCACTCTATATCAGCTTGATGAGAGTTTGGAACGTGGCAACAATGAATGCAATGTAACTCTCTTCCAAACAAAGCACTATTGGGACAGACAATATGCTCTCTGTGAGTCAGGATCCTTACACGATTAGATAGAAGTGTGCAGCAATAAAGACAAAAAGAGCCTGCAGGTTGTTACTCCAGAAAACCAGTGGGCCAAACTGATTTTACTTTTCCTTTGGTGTAAAAATACCTATTCTACTTAAATATTGTCTATAAAATGTGATATATTCAAAGGCATAACCCATTACTGAATATTATATAGAATGAAACATTCATTACATTGTCTGTACATAGAGAACATTTAAAATTCGAAGGCAGAAAGATAAATAAAATTGCAATTCCCAAATGAAACACAAACATACCAAATATCAAATTTTGAATCCAGGAAGGCCAATTTTAATTATGATCTTATTCAGTGCCTACATTCTGAGGCTTTGCAGATGTTCTACCTACTGGTAAAGAGAAGGAAAATCTATATAAAATTATCTTCCTAGTAATTTGGCTTTACTGGAGTTCTAAACAGCACTAAAGCATCAAATGCTACAACCTTGAATGTAAATGTATAAAACAAATGATACAATGCATAGATAGTACATTTTTAAAAAGCTATTGAAGAATCTATGTCTTAAGCAAATGTGGCAACTTCTTCCACACTCTGTCTGCTCCTAGTCTAAGTGTGAGCTTTTTCTTTCAGTATCAGCACAACTTCAAAGTTTTTGAGATGTTTTACAGTCCACTCTTGTTCCTGTCAGACTGTAGATTTGTGCTTGGTAGGATCACACAAAAATGCAGCTAAAGATATTCATAGTATTATTAATTTTAATTAGTAGGCAACCAATTACAGTGAAGACTTTCAAAAGTGATCCTAATGACGCACACAGAACTCTTTCTGAGATATATATTTTTTCATAGCTGATACATACGTGGTCAAATATAGCATATAAAAGATTGACTTAATCAAGAAAGTTACCCCAAGATGAATGAGAAGAAAATCACAATATTGGCTTATATACAAATAGTATATACATGATGACATATAATAAGAAGTTTCTGAAATAACTTAAAATGCAGAATCACTGATAAAGTTTGTCAACAGTATTCGATTCCAAATACAGCAGGAAAGTCATTTCTACTTCTAGTTCCCCTTTAAGAAAAGGAACCTCTCTTAGTTTATAACCCGATAGAATTCAAAAACAAGTGAACACCCCTACTTCAGAAAAGGCTGATTTCATGTTGTCTTCAAGTAAACAGATAGATCAGAAAATACAATGATGCAAACATTGCACATGTTCCCGGGAAAACGCAAATTTCTTATAATGATTGTGGGACAAAATAAATAAATTAATTAAAGGAAACAGTTTCAAGTCTTTGAATTTACTCACCAGTTTCCCAAATGCAGGGTTAGTAACAGGAACATCAACCTCACTCCTCTAGTTTGACTCCACAGGAGCGAAGGAGAGAAGAGGAAGGCTTTCCTAGAACCCATCAGGTCGCTTTTATGGTCCCTCTTCTGCTAGCTCAGTCCCCAAGCCCAGAGTTTGCCTCAAGCCTCAGCAGCCGCCCAGTGAGTAAAAGGGAGAGTGTGGAAAGACAGGACACCTCCTAACCAGGTAGGATGCGACTCCCAGAAGAACTGAGCCGAGGAGCCAATCAGACAGGGAGGACGCCGGCATAAATTATCTCAAAACGACTTGGACCAATCAGTGCTCCAGAAAGGCGGGGTTTCCCATACTAGAAATCAAGCCCTGCCCAGTGGGGAAAAGAGCTCCGCTTTTTTTTTTTTTTTTTTAAATGAAAGAAAAATAAACCTCTTCTCCGTTCCAGCGCCTATAAGAAACATTGGGGTGGCCTTGACAGTCGGGCTCCCAAGGGAAACGCTGCTATTTTGCTGCCCTTCCGTATATTGGAATGCATACCTCCTCCTTCTCCTGAGTTAGGAATGATTTATTTATTTATTTATCCTTTTATTTACTTATTTATTCTTTTATTTTTTTTTAATTGCCTTCAAGAAATGCCCAGGTAACTCTCCCTCCGTGGAAAGAGCCTATTACACTTTATTAGGGCTCGTGAGAACTCTGTTATTTTTGATTGATTATCGTTACTTAATTCTGATTCCGGGATAGTGTCTTGTTTCTTTTTGCAGATGTAGGATCGGACACAACGCCCTGCACAAATGAACTCTCTAGAGGTGGACAATGTAAAACTCAAGTGAATGAATGAGCCGTCTGGGTGCATTCCCGTTAAGCACGTTCTGCTCCCTCCCCCTGCTACTGTCTGCGCTCTAGTGTGCCGATTTGCAACGTATTATCTCCCATCGCGGAAAGATGACAGTAATGAAGAATACCAGGCAAGAACTCTCTCGTTTTACAAACACAAAACACACAAAACTGATTGTAGTAGCTTCCGCCGTCAAAGACGCCCTAGCATATGACATGGGCGATTCTTGCTGTGTTTCCCCTGCTCAAGTGCATTTCATTTGCATTTGTGGAGCTTCTGTGTTTGGTTCCTAACTTCAGAGGCTTTGCTTTGAGTTCTCAACAGAGCCCAAGGGTTGCCATGGCAACCAGAAAGCCTCTGGCAGCTGGAACAACTGTACTGCAAAGACCGGGGCTATGGAGAAAAGGGCTCAGTGCCCAGCCATCTTCTGCTTTTACGCCTTGCTAAATCTCTGCTTCCCAGGGATGTCGCCCAAGGATGGGGTCCTAGGCTGCATCATTAATCACTCCACACCACCTGGAGGTGCCCACATTCAGAGATGAAATGAAATGTACCGTGTAGTTACTTGAGAAGCAGACAGTTCAAAGCAGAAGTAACTGTTTGTGCATGCACGGCGGCGGCAAGGGAACTGTTGCTGCAACAGCCACTGAAATCCATTAAAGGAGCCAGATGAGCATAACGGGGTTACAGACTGATAGACTTTCTCTCTTTGTCTCTGTCCCTTCCTTTCTTCCTCTCTGGTTGCCCAGAATAGCAGATATTGCAGTATTTTTCTTTTCTTTGACTCCCTATCATCTGAAAATAGGTAGTGACCTTCCTTGTTCCTATTCTCTTACTCCACACTATTTAGCATTTTTCTCTTCCATGAAGTATGTTAATTAAAGCAGCTCATACCTAATAATAATACAAATAGCAATTAAAATACATTATAATAGATTTTGAAGCAAGTGCATTCAGGTAGCCTGTGACGTCAATATAATTAAGCTGTTTTTATTTATTTTTCTATGTCAATTAACAGTGTGGTGTACATTATTATTTAACTATTTCACAGGGTGCACATATCAATTCAAGGATATGATTAACCAGTGAGGCAGGAATTAATTCCCTGGACATACCTAGTGGATAACAAATACTTTCTGATTACTCCTGGCATTTCCTAATATTAAATGTGGTTTTTCCACATTTTAATGGAAATATGATGCAGTCTAACATTCTACAGCAGTAATCTTAGACAAACCGATCAAAAACTTTCAAAAAGGTTTTGTTATTCTCATATGTTACTGGAAAGTGCTGACAGCAGTTCCAAGAAATTAATGGAAAGGAAAGGTGAAGGATGTTTCCTTGGATGCTATACTTACACTCATAAAACAGAAAGGGATATAATAATAGGAGTTTTCTACATTTTCCAAAATGAAATTTCCCCAAAATGTGCTGAGGTAGTCTTCTAAAAAAAAAGTCTCCCTCTCTATAGCTAGAATGGCACAGCTGTTATCGTTCCCTCTAGTCTACGTAAAATGGATAGAAGCCCTCTGTTATCTGAAAGAAAAGGCCATGATAGGTTTGTGTTCTGGTTGCAACTTGATAATTTGACCCGAATAGTCTTTCTTTTTGGACAACATAAAATATCCGCATATTTATATATGGTGACTAACGACTAGGGAGCTTTGGTTGTGAATAAATACAGTAAGTACCACTGTATCCATCAAATTGACCACCTTTTCTCAGGAGGACACACATAGGAAGGACAGGCCACGTGTCCTAGAGTTCAAGGTGAAGAGGCCAGAAGTAGCCTGAGGTGAGGAACTGGAGAGAGGACTATTGTGGTGGTTGTTTTCATTTCAGGACAATTTTGACCACATGAGGTTTGTTAAAGTTGGGAGATAGTTTTTGTTGCTGCAGCTGTGGAGTGAAGGAAGGTTGTAGTCAACTATTGAATGTTATTAAGTGGAAGCTAATATTTTGTTTGCAATCTGTAATATACAAAAACTCAACCGATGGTGAAGAATTCAAGCATAAACTCTCAGTGGTGCCAAGGAAAGGAAGGCCTTTGCTATGAAGAAAGGGGATGGTAAATATACTATACCACAGTTACATATTATTTTTTCATTGACTGTCATTAAAGTCACCCTTCACTTTCTCATTCATTTGAATGACTGGATCACAATCATTACCTGTTAATTTTTTATTTAAACAGTTTTCATACAATACACTTGAGCATATTTCCACTCATAGATCATCCCTATTTCCTTATCGCCCAACTTCATGTTCTTTCTTTTTCTCAAAAATAAGACAAAATACCACAGCAAGCTAAACAAAAGAGTAAAAAAGCTACACATACTAAGGTATTTTTTTATTTAAAATAAAAAGAAATATGGAGTCATTTTTATGTTGGTCAACTGCTACTTGGCTTGGAGCCTGACCTGGAATACGGTTGACATATCAGTAGAACTCCATTAAACAACAGTGATTTTTTTTTTCTCTCCCAGCAACTATCAATTGAAAAAAAAGCTTCTTAGTTATGGTAAGACTTTGGGTCTACTTCTTATTTTTCTGTCCTAGAAATCTGCATGGTTTTAGCTTTTGCAGGTTTTGTGTGTACCCTCACAGTCTCTCTTAAACCTTATGTACAGCAGCTTTTCTGTATCTGGAGTTTCCTTGGAGTCATCCACCACCACTGACACAGTGCTGACTGCTCCAGAAACTCAGTCCTTATATGTTGTCAAATGTATGTCCTTGAGCTAATTACCATCATCAGCAAAATAAGCTTCAATCACACTGGGTGGTGAACAATTATTTATCTTATTTTGTTAAAGGCACAAAGCCATATAGTAATTTCTAATGACATATTGCTTTGAAAATGGAAATTTTTGTCCTGCCCAGTTCCATAGCCAGTTAGTTCAAAGAAACTCACAGAGGTTTTTATTAATTATAAACTGCTTGGCCTATTAGCTCAGACTTACTGTTAACTGGCTCTTGCAACTTAATTTAACTCATAATTCTTACCTATATTTAGTACATGGCTTGGTACATTTTCTCAGTGAGGCATTTCATCTCTCTTCCTCTGTATCTGGCTGATGACTTCATCTCTGTCTTCTCCAAGTCTGATCATCCTACCTATATTTACTGCTGGCTACTGGTCAATCAGCATTTTATTAAACTAATACAAGTGACAAAACTTTACAATGTACAAGAGTTTTATCCCACAGCATTCCTATACTCATATCTATTGCATATCTATTAGTTTCATATTTAGGTGCAATGACTATCAACTTGAAGTCATACTACTTTCATTTTAGAAGGTTTTGTGGGTTGTTTTTTCATTTTGCTATCACTTTAAAATAGTTGTTATACCTACAGGTGGTACAAACAGCTTCACTCTGGACCTAATGGATTACGTGTTATAGTAATAAACACTTAAGGTTTTCACATGCTAGAATTTGGGAGTAATTGCCTTTCTGTCATCTTGTAAAATGACTAGTGATAGAGTGGCTTGATGTTGCCACATGCAGCCCGACACTAAGCTGACAAGAACTACTAAAGATCCAACTTGTCATTCATTAACTGTGATCTAGATAAAAAGACTGATTTTAAAATACAATGGTGATAAAAGTACAGACTTATGCCTTAGTTTCTTTCTTTTGTTGCATTAGTTTTTCTGTCTGTGTGGAATGGCATTTCTCCATGTCTGTCTGTCTGTGTGTGTGTGTGTGTGTGTGTGTGTGTGTGTGTACAAGTACAGGTATATATGGACATGTGGAGGTCAGAGGTCAACAACAGATGACTACTTCTATCATTGTCCACCTTATTTTTTGAGACAAGGTATGTTAGTAAGCATGGGGATCTTTGATACCTATTCACATATGTGTGTGTGTGTGTGTGTGTGTGTGTGTGTAGATTCTACCTTTTCAGAATTTTCAGTTATTTTCAGGATTACATTGAGTTATTCATATAATTAATTGCCTTTATAATAGAAATAAATCCAAATTCTAGTTATTATTGCTATGCCTAATTCATGCTATATTTAAAATACAATAAAGTTTGCCTAACTGACAGTACAGTTAAATTCTGAAATTCTAAAGAAGATGAATGAAAATGACGACATTATACCTTCAACATTATCCCTATATCTAACTTCTTAAGGTAAGCTTTTATTTAATTTTAATCTGTAAAGGTATGTTTCTTTCATGAACCCCATGATCCTAAACTTAACCACTAAATAGCACAGTATTTTCTTCTATTGCATATCCTACCTCTTAGGCTATGAGATTCCCATCTCCATTGTCAGCATGACACTTCATTTATCGAATTGTCATTTTTCTGAGAAATAATTATTTATTTCTCACTGAAGAATATTATGAAATATAGGAAAGACATATGACATT